TTAAAAAAAAAAGTTTGTTAGCTTTAATTTATTTTAACTTTGGGAGTTTGTTTTATTTCTGCGTTGCAACATGTTTATATAATTTTTTGAAATCAATTTTTTTTCAAACTATGTGGAAATTAAACGAACTAACTAAATTTAAGAAATCTGTAAAAGCTATAATTTAATGTCGATTTTATTGTTTTGAATCACAAATTGATACCTATTGTAGATGAAACATAAACTAATATATACAAAAAAACTGAATATCTAAAAATTATTTTTTAACATTTATGCCAAACTTTCGTCATTGCTAAAAAGCATAAGACGGAAAAAGGAAAATGATTTTTGGCTCTTGAACTGTGACATTTAATAATCTCCCACTTCGCTCTCTTAGCACACCTGGTGCTGTTTTAATTATGAATCCTTACGTCAAACGTCTCCAGATTCAAAGCAAACTTCTCACCTCATGCACCAGTAATTATTGCTACTTCGCACTTTTGCACTTTTCGAAATGTTTCTCCGCCTTCCCAGCCAAGAAAAATTTATGAGCGTCTAGAAGGCAAAGTAATTCTAGGCTGTGCGAGGTTTAGAGCCAGGAAATAATTTAAAAACTTTACAGTGACCTTCAAATGAGGGCGTGTGTATATGGCAGCGGTGAACTCAGTTAGACGTTGTAAGCATTGTCGTAATAACTCCACGAGTGGAATGCCATTTACATTGTTGTTGCATGTGCTGCTTTTTGTAATTGCTTGTGCTGTTTTTTCTTAACTTAGAACCGCTTAAAGGATTTAAATAAACTTGTGCTCTCTGATATTACCATAATTTTAAAACTTTAAAGAACCGTAATATTAAATGTTTATGTATTATTAACAGCTGCCTTAAATGTGCCACATTATATTTCGTCTCTACCAAAATGTATTTTTCCTTGCTAAACTTCATGGTTGGATTGCGTTTGCAATTATCAATATATTACAGGCTCAATGGGACATGCCACATTAAGTAAATATGAAAAGAAACGAAGTATTTTTGCGCAAATATTTGCCATACTCAAACTCATACTTTCATATATCTACACACACACACACACAAACCAAAATGTGAACAGTTTAAGGATTGTTGCGTTGACTGCCATTTGCATTGTTTCAATTATGATTATATCACATCCTGACAAAAGGCAGTTGAGAAGCTTCTCACGGGGCTGTGAGCGCAATCGATCTGCAAATAACGGTTAATACCATATGAGGCAAGTAATTGCTTTTGCTTTTATTATGTTGCTTTCCATTCCATTAACAAAAGCAAAACAGGAAAGCAAATGGAGGCCAGAATCCCCTAAATTACCATATTATTCACACATGGAACTGAGATTTTCTTTTCAGCACATTCATGAAGATGTGTGTATGTTACTTCGCGCACATAAAATATATAACTATCGAATTAGAATTCACAAAACGTTTTGTGGCCTTTCACTTGTTAAGCATTTGGCAATTTTTGGCCGGTTAAGTGGAAGAAAACAAAAGCAAATGACCATTAGATTACAAATATGACCAAACAATATTAATAATAAATTGCCTTGGGTCGAACACATTGTTGAGATTTGATTGCATCAAATATTTACGCAATTTGAATAATTAATTGGTCAGTTAACGGGTAACGAGTTCCATAAACTGTAAAATAGAAAGCTTAGAATATATGCACATTCACATTTATCATTGGACCATTCATTTTTTGAATAAATTTAATATTGTCGACTTGAAATTCAATAGCATAAATGCATTCTCTAAATGTTCAACGAAAAGTAGAAAATAATAATTTAAAATTGGTATTCAAAAACCAGCTCAAGTTGCTGGTTAATTTTGATGGCAATTTAAAAAGGACCTACAGAATTTTTGACTTATTCTTTATTAAACTTTCGTTCGTTATCTTTATTTAAACTTAATTATATATATATACCATATTTCATTTGTTTAATTATCTTCCACTTACAATGTTTGGCGTAAATTACAACTCTTTTTATAATAAATCGAAAAATTGCTTAGATTGAGACTTTGTAATAATTTTCCACGAAATTTTGAAACAATCTCAAATCATTTAAAACTATTTTCACCCGCTACACGTAAGATTTCCACCAACATCGTAATTCCATTTTACCTAGTAAGCAAGTTGTCATTAATCAACACCTGGGCGTATGAGTAACTTCTTGACACAGTTCAGAGGGAGACTTACACTGCACAATAAATACAAGAAATTAAATTTTTGAAATTTTAAGTGTGTTTTAAAGAAAACTTCTGACACAATAAAGACAAGTCCATCAAAAGTGATGAGATGAGAGCATTTCGTCAAAAGCCATTCAGATTGTGGCTTAGCACAGAAATGGAAATGAAAGCAAAACAAGGAATGCAACACAACGTAGCGAATGTTCCGGTGGCATCAGCACTTACGGAGGCGGTGAATCAGAAGTAAAAAAGAAAACACTCAAAAGCTACATTGCACATTGTTCCCACTTTTACGGTCACAAGTTCGATTGTTATGTTGTTATAAGCCGCAGAGGAAAGAATAAACAAGTAAAGATTTCCGCCCGCACGTGCCGAGGAAACGCACACAAGCAAAGCGAAAATTTATATTTTCTTTAAATTTTTAGTAAGAGTAAGTAAATACTAAGCAAAAGCGCAAAAGTTAAAAGCAAATACAATCTCACAAAGGACCAAAAATAATAATCTGGAAGTAGAATCATAAAATTGCCTCACTCGCTATTTTGGCTATATCATTTACCTTTACCACTTATCGCTTATTTACACTTAAACAGCATTTTGCAATCGCTGGCTTCGGCGTTTAAATAATTTATTTTTTATCGCATTTCTGACAGCGCGTACGACAGTTGCGGCTAATTCGCTGCTAGCAAGTGTTTATTGTCCTGATTAAGCTCACTTTAGTTCATCTTTACTATTGTACTATCACATACCTAACTCAATTCACACAGATTTTCAAAATTATATTTAATATTAAAAGAACGGGAATTTAAGTTTGAGCACAATTCACACTTGGGCGCGGGCCACCAGAACGTCTCTCAACCGCGCAACACTTGGCAGCACAAATTTATATTTGTGCGACTTTACTCTGTCTTTTGGTTTACTGCTTTACTATCTTCTTTTACTTCTAGATTGCTCGGAGCTGCCGACAAGTAGCGAACCGTCTCATTCAAGCCCACGCTCTAAACTGAACTGAATCTTCGCTGCGACTGAGGAAAAGAGCCAAGCGCCAGCCGAGTTGCCGAGTGGTGAGCTGAGGCGAAAGGTGGAAGGCGCAGATTCGTGGATGCAGAGGCTGTGCAGGCAGCGCTGCTAATATTTGCTGGCTTTTGCATTTGTGTTGGTGGCGGCGCTGCTATTACTGCATCCTTGAGCACAGCATTGGTATTCACGTGGTCCCTCTCGCTGCCAGCGACGCTGCTGCCGTTGCATTTGCCGTTGCATTTTTCGGGGTTCTCTGTTTGCGCTTTGCTTTACAGTTAAATTCGTAGCTGTTAAAGTTAACAGAGTTACTTGCAGGGAGTATACTCTGCTGCTTAGTCAGAGGACTCATTGCATGCTTTTAGGTGGACAAGGGTTTAGAGGGTGTTAAATAAAATAATACATAAACGGAGAAAGAAGTTTATGCCTTCACATTTTCCCCATTAGAAAAGAAGTGTACTACGTTTGATGTTTACGTTTTCATATTTTATTTTCCCGTTTTGATTAATTTTAGCTCAGACACGTGGTGTATCGAACACAGCAGTTACGGGCTTTTGCCAAATTTGTAAAATATGCAAAAACAAACAGAGAACTGGTAATCACGTGTTCTTAGCAAAGCAGGCAGCATACAATGGAGATGAGAGAGTTACTTTTATTCATACTGGGATAGCTGAAAACAACAACAACGAACTTGCAAACGGATGTGGCTAGTCAGTAATAATATTTTTTTTAATTTTCTTAAAAATTTTATCACAATCAGGATCTAACAAGTACAAATCACATTTGGTGTTATATGTTTATGAATATTCTGAAAAACTCAATCCTAAGATCATAAAAAGTGTATCTGTTCCGTTATTCTACTATATATGTACATAATTGAACACCTTACTTCGAGGATAACATAGGATACAAAGCATATATGTAAATAAAACATCAGCCAAACTAAATAGCTGGAGATGCAATATCTTAATTTCATTTGTATACAGCAAACAAACTAATTTCTTCCCGCAGAGCCAGAAAGTCTTCTGAAAAGTTTCAAGTATATTGAATGATCAGAGAAGGATTATAATTTGCTCATGTTAAATGTAGTTAAATCGTCAAAGCCAAGTCCATTGTTTAGCAAAAACTTGTAGCAAAAGTCACAAAAGTGAAATAAATTAATATTACGGAAATGTCAATGTTGTCGATATACAAACATACATACTTATAACACAATAAAACTATATTCACATATGCAAATATGCTGGGAATTTCACTTTGATTTAATCAAAGGTAATGTACATATGTATATACTCGTATAAGTATGTATTACCTAATGGAAACACTTTGTACTTTCATTGTTCTCTTTGGTCCTCTTTTCTTTTTGTCTTGCATTGAACTTCAGTTGCGACTGTTTGCTTTCAAATAAAACTAATTTAAATGCAGAGATTAGTAGACACATGAGAATACTTATATGACTACAAAGCCATAAGTTCATATACATGTACTAAGGGTTCTAAACTGGCAAAGAGAAAAAGTTGTGTCAATACAATACTGCTTTTAGTTTAATTGGCTTTGCTTTCAGCAGATTTAATTAGTTGCTTGGCATGTTTCATTACAAAACATTCTTTACTGTTAACCAGTTTAATGTTTTCAGAGTATATTTGTTACTAAGAAAATTAAAATTTGATTAAAGATATGAACACGATAAACTTTTATTTCTGTATCGTATTTTTTACTTACCATACACTAAAGAGCTCTGGATTCATTGACCCACAAAGCCTCAAGTAAAGCAAATAAATCAGGTCAAAATATCTAAATGATCCTATTACGTTTATTTTTCCATCTGCTCCTTTCCAATTCTATTTGTCAGTGTTTAACCGCATTTTCTCTTATATGAGGGCTGCTTTGAATCAGAAGACTAACTCGAAACTTAACGAACTATTACATAAATTTATATATAGCATATATCATACACATATACTTGTGTATTTACTTAATGCCCTATGTAGTTTTTGTGTGCTGCAGCATTTCGCTTTCGTTCGAATTTCTCAAAGGAGCTTTCTGCAGTTACTTAAGGTTAAGGCTTTTTAGCAACTGTCTGACGCTGAAGGTTCTTAGCTGACAGGTACCTGTTGGCGTTTTGTTGCTTCTAACGGTACGAAGTGGTGTGCAGGGCTGACTGGTGGTCCATAGGTAGAAAAGTGCTGCATTTTTCTCAACAAGTCCCCAAAGGGAAATGAAGTTGCAGCAAATAGGAACATAAGCTAAAGGCAACGAAGGACTAAGGCAGAATGGACTGAATTCCCCATCTTTGTTTGAGAAGCAACAGACATTTGTACTGCTTAACATTTTTTAGTGGATTTTTCTTTATGCCCTGAACATGGTATATTAAGTTTGTCACGAAGTTTGTAACACCCAGACTGAAAGATTAGAGATCCTATAAAATATATATAGGTATGAATGATCAGCATGATGAGCTGAGTCGGTCTGGGCATGGCCGTCAGTCTGTTCATCAGTTTTTGAGATATCGATCTGAAATTATTATTTACATAAGTATCGCCAACCTTTGGGGAGGCAGAGGTATAATCAGCGCAGGAAGGCTTTTGTTCTTAATATGCCAATAAAATGATGCTAATATTAAACATTTCGCTACATAAAATATATCCGCTAAATTTTGATGGCTGCCAGTATTATAAAAATAAATGTGTAAGCTTCAACATACCGATAAACGATTTTTATGAGTAAAGCATATTAATTATTTGATTTTCCTACATTAAATTATTTTTTGCATATTTGTTTTTCTGCTGATTATTTTCTGAGGTATCAAAACCTATGCCTTTCCTACCGTTTTCACTGAGACGCTTCACCTGTTCTATTTACTCACGAAGTTGAATTTATCATTTTTCACAGATGTTAAGAGCAGTTAGTTGGAAAGCGATGATGATTTATCTTCAATAAATTTTAAAAGCTTTATAACTGAGTGACACAATTCAATAAACGTTAACTCGCACCACTCGGGAATTTTGCCAGTGAATATTCACAGAAGCAGCAGCAGAAAATTTAAACGAAAGCGTGGTAGAGTGTGTGTGTGCTATCAAGTGCGATAAATGACAAAATAATTTTTCACTTTGCCTCAAATTGTCCGCCAGCGTGAACACATTGAAATCACTGCGCTTTGGCGAAAAGTCTTATTGAATGTTATGAAAGGAGACTTGTTACTTCAGAAAGGCTTCTGAAGTTGTCATGTGTATGCCAAACCATCATGTCACTACATTACAATGAGATAATATTTTGCAACATGTGACTGAATTGATGTGATGTTGAATTAGTTTTTAGGCTATCGTTAACGAGTGGGAAGCAGATTTGTTATATTTTCGTTTTAGCTCAGCTTGACCACTAGCTGGTTAATATTTCATGCCATTAGTGATAAATTATTTAAATGAACTGATTTAAGAATTGATATTATATTGAGCTTCTAAAGGTCCTAGGAATTTAATTCGAATCTTCTTGATCTTTTGACTCATATAATGCCAAATATTTTGTTACTTATACGCCCTAGCCTTTCTTCATGATCGAAGAAATCACTGACTCGTAAATTGAGCTCTGCTGAGTTCATCACAAGATTTACTATTCAGCGACTTGTTGAGGAAAGAAAAGCTAATAGACAAACCAAGGAAAATGGAAGCCACGCACTACAACAGCGAAGAGAAAGGCACTTGAGAAGCAGCTATTGTGGTTGTGTTTGCTTTTATTGCGTTTGCTGAGCTCCTCTGAAATTCTCGAGAAGACTAGAGTAAGTCAATAGTTATTTTATGTGTATTGGTAGATGCTGAGTTGTCCATTTATTGCTTTGATTTTTTTAATGGTTTAATTTGCTTGCAATTTTATGTACTAAAAGCCCGGAATAATTTTATATAAATTTTATTTGTTCAATATAAATTAGCAAAGGCTATTTGAAAATATTCCTAATTTAAATTTTAATTAATTTAACTACTCAATCCTTATACATACCTTTTGTTGAAGGCTAAGGTTAGCGTTTGAACTTTTTTTTTTTGAATAAACTTTCGTCCACACTTAAAGCGGTGTCTAGTCATGCTTTCTAACTGCAACTTAATCACGCTGTCGTCTGTAAAAAAACCAGCACATATTATTGCAAAATGCATTAGAATAATTATGATGTAAAAATTCCATACAATTAGTTTTCTTACTACAATTTTTCTATTTTTCAATTCATCCAATGCTTTTTATGCCATAAATAAATTAATCCTTTGCTCAACTAATATGCGACTTAAGCTAAGTGGCATAAAATTTATAAATTCTGCCATTAATGGCAAAATAATTCAATTAGAGCGAACTTTATTCATTCTCCTCATTTAATTCTTTTCTCAATTCCATTTATCTGCAGTGCGGATAAGCTAGCAAATACAAAATTGACATGAGTTTAATTCTGTACCATTTGGGGTCGCTTAAATTTAAGTTGTGACCATTTATGCCATTAGTGCCGCGAAGAACTTGTCCTTCTGATTTGGCAGCTTTATATTATTTATGTGTGCTATCAAGTGCTTAAGTCTTCTGTTTTCTACTTAGTGATATGCTTCAGGCTTCTTTGAACATTAAGTGCCGTTAATTTAGTTAAGTTGCGCTTTGGACTATTATAGTGACATTAACGGCTCAGCAATAAAGCAGAAAGTGTATTATTGGACTTGAATTCGTTTTTTATTGAGTGAATAGTTGCGATTTGTTATAAGTGATTTTTATAATTTTGTTTTTTGATAGAAATATAATGCAATTAAATTTGCGGTGTGCAATTAAATTATTTTAAAATCACTGGAGAACGAGTAATGGCGAACACCACTACAAAGACAACAGCAACAACCCCTAATTGAGTTGTGAGTGAAATTGAACATGGAAAAGGCCACTGAAGTGCTTATAAGTGGCACTTGACCACTTCTGGCCAACAATAGAGGACTAGAGCATTTGGTCGTTGTGAGGACGCAGTTAGTTATAAAAC